CTGCGAGTGTGTGCATGTTTGTGTGTGTGTGCGTGTGCACGTGGTGAAACACCATTAAACCAATGTGCCAAGATCTGGACAATAACGGAAAACCAAATTGACCATTTTTGCATCTTCCGAAAGTTTAGACGCTCACTGGAGGATGTCTGAGTCTTACGAGGAGCAGACATCACATCAGACCACCATTTGATCCTTGGAAAGATGAAACTGAAACTGAGAAGGTATGCACAAGTCACAACTAAAAGTCGACAAAAGTATGAAGTGAGCCTTCTGAAAGACCCAGTAAAGAAGAATGAGTTCAAGTTGGAACTAAAGCACAGATTTCAAACCTTTCAAGATCTGGATGAATGTGAAGTCAACAAACACTGGGACAAGATAAAAGAGGCAGTAAATGCAACTAGCCAGAGCACTTTAGGACCCAAAGACAACACCAGGAATGAATGGATTTCACAGGACTCTCTAGACAAAGTCAAAAGAAGAAGAGAGCTGAAGGCCCAAGTCAACAACAACCGAACCCGAACTGAGAAACTCGCTGCACAACAAGAGTACACCGAAGTAAACCGGGAGGTAAAGAATTCCATCAAGAAGGACAAAGACACCTATCTGAATGGCCTGGCAGAGAAAGCAACAACAGACGGGCACTTACGGATTGTAACCAAACAACAAAAAATCTTTCAGGTAGGTTCAGTTAGCCCACTCTACCAGTGAAAGACAAAGAGGGAAAGACTATCTTCAACCCAGAGGGGCAAATTATCCGATGGAGAGAACACCTTGATCAACTCTTGAACAGACCACCTCCAGAAATTCTTCCAGCCAGAAAAGACCTCCCAATAGTTACGGAACCACTTTCAAGAGAGGAAATCGCTGCAGTTATAAAAACACTGAAGTCCCACAAGGCAGCTAGTCCCGACCATATACCACCAGAAGCCCTTAAGGCAGATAAAGATATATTAGTGGAAATTCTCTATGCTCTATTTGAAAAAGTTTGGCAAAATGAGGAATTACCATCAGACTGGAAGGAAGGCCACCTATTCAAGCTGCCAAAGAAGGGAGACCTCAGCAATTGTAACAACTACAGAGGCATTTCGCTCCTGTCCATACCTGGGAAAGTCTTTAACAGGTACTCCTGGAGAGAATCAAGCTGGCAACAGACGAGAAGCTCAGAGGAAACCAGGATTCTGCAAAAAACTATCATGTGTGGACCAAACCGCTACTATGTGCATCATGGTTGAGCAATCGCTTGAATGGAATTCACCAATCGTGGTCTTCATTGATTATGAATAGGCGTTTGACAGCGTGGACAGGGAAACTCTGAGGAAACTCATGCGGCATTTTGGAATAACTGACAAAATCGTAAAGCTTGTGAAGGCCACCTACGATGGAACAAACTGCCAAGTCTTCCACGAAGGACAACTCTCAGAACCATTCCTGGCACAGACAGGAGCGCGAAAAGGTTGCTTGCTCTCACCTTTTCTCTTTATACTGGCAATTGACTGGGCCATGAAAGAAGCCACTAGAGGCAAGCGTAATGGAATATAGCAGATCCCTTGGCAACAGCTGGATGACTTGGACTTCGCCAGTGACCTTGCACTGCTCTCTCACACACATGTTCAGATGCAAGAAAATATCAAGGAACTCATCAGAGATTTCTAAGATATTAAGAGGCAATATAGAATAAGAAATGAAGAGCTGTGGGAAAGGACAGGACAAAAGGATATAGAAATAGGACTAATAGAAAGTGGCGATGGGTGGGACACACCTTAAGAAAACCCAGCGGAAACATCACAAGACAGTCACTGCAGTGGAATCCACAAGGAGCACGATGCAGGGGTAGTCCACGGGAAACATCTGGAGGAGATGCGTGGAAAGGGACATAGAGGGAAGCTCACTTGGAACGAGCTTGGAAGGATGGCCCAGGACATAGATAAATGGAAGGAGCTTGTATGTAGCCTATACATATACCCGGCCAGGGGTGAAAGGCATTGATGATGATGACTGTCATGATATTTTAATGTTTACAGTACTTATGACCTCATTGTTTTACTTCCTGTATTCCGGTGACATAATTACGCTCTCGCTTTTAATCTGGCTATTGTCTTTATTGTTCCTGTTTGCACTTCGAGTGTGCCGGCCATAACATGAGCCATTAAACCTCTGTGCCTAATCCGCTGTGTTCTGTTGTCGATCATTCACTGTACTTGTGTGTATACAAACACGATATGGTGTCAGAAGTGGGATGAAAAGTAGTGTCAATAGCCACCGAGTGACGCGGTGACAATTGATGCCAGCGTCAATTGCCATTGAGTGAATTAGAGCTCTTTTGCGTTGGTGAGTAGTTCTAGCCTATGTGTGCTATGTACTCGGTGTTCTGCCTTCGTGAACTTCCGCTCAGCCTACGCACGCCTCTCTGTCCCTCTGTCTGAGTGTGTGTGTGTGTGTGTGTGTGTGTGTGTGTGTGTGTGTGTGTGTGTGGGCGGGTCTCTCTCTTTCCTTAACCCCCGTCCCCTGGATTTATATTCCCCGATATAAAAAGAATTTCTGCTTGAATTTGTGTGCGTTTGTGGCCTACTTCTAGAATCACCTGTGTTGCTCTGTGTTGGTTCTACACGAAGCGTAGGCTAAGCTGCTAAGCCTAGGCCTACGTCTCATTCAAAACCCACCAAGTTGGTAGTTCTAGATGTTTGTCCAATGAAATTAGTAGTGAATAAATTGACTAATTTATATATGAGGAGCTCGAAAGGATAGCCAGGAAACTAGACTTTCATATTATACTGTACAAAATCTTCCAAATGAGCTTGAATTTATGCAAAATGATCTGATAAAAATAAGTTTATAGATATAGAGTTTTGAATACCTTTGTGCAAGTACGTACACAGGCATTCTATATTTCCTTTCGAACCCCTGAATGTGAGTAACTACTCGTTATGACTTATCAACTTAAGAGAGGAGGGTAGAACATATTCATCATGTGTTCCTAACACATTATGATAGAAACTAAAGATAGAGAGTTGTTCTCAGACTTGACACCGCTTCACTCAGTGGCAATACTAGAGTCACACCACTTCACTCGGTAGCAACTGACGCTACCATTTACCTTTTTGAAAGGTACAAACAGGAACTAGAACAGGAAAAAAGCTCTAACAGAGCTACTTAATTAGGTTATTAGGCCTACTGCTTTGGTTTGTTATCTTTATATTATAATGTAGTTTATAATGACGCAAAGTTGAAGCGGATTGCTTATCAACACACACAATAAATGTTACAACAAAACAGGGAATAGTCTACGATGGCTTGAAGAGATAAACAATCTAGATTCTAGATCTAGATCTACAAGCGAACTGTTGTAATTTTTGTTGACAAAAGAAACAAATTGTATCGAAGTACTTCATTACGGTAAGTCTTACTTACTTTACAAATTTTTTTTTTAACGAAAAAAAAGATGTAGATGTAGATCTAGAATCTAGATCTAGATCTAGATCTAGATTTAGATATTAGATTTCTAGATCTAGAATCTAGATTTAGATTGTAGATCTAAAAAAAAATCTAGATTCTACATATAAATCTAGACTAGATCTAGATCTCTAGATCTAATCTAGACTAGAAACTAACACTAACGTTACTTACCATGACTTTTTGTCATGAAGCACTTCGTCGTGACGTGTAGAATGTAGCCTAGTCTCTTCTAATTTAGCTCTGTCTGTCTACACGCCCAGAAAGCACACACTATCTAGACTTTCAATTGAAAATATCACTATCTGAACATATAAGTCCAATTAATAATACCCAGAGAGAAACAAAATACAAAAATACAAAATTTGTTGACAAACTTTTGGACACCAGTAATGTTTACATCTATTGCTATGTAGTAACAACATGGCGTGTGTTTGGCACAAAATGCCAGTTTGGTCTATATAAAAAATTATTAATTAACAAAAAGTATTAAAATATCAGCTTTGTCTACTTTCACAAGTATTACAGTTTCAATAAAAATGTAAGTCTTGAATATTAGAATGGAAAATAGATTAAAAAACCCATCAGTAATGAACTAACCGTTCTGATGTCATTTTTCTAGCCAAAACAAAGCGCACATTGTGGTTTCATTGTCCAGGTCCAATGTATCGTTTAAACACAATGTCGCAATTTTCATTAAATGGAAGAATGTAATAGCAATACATTCGGGTTTTGAGGTTGGGGAAACGCCTTCAGTGCGTTGGGTTGGGCTGAGGGTTTACGTCAATAGTATTTTTTACCCTAACACGTTCGGTTTATCGACGCTTACAGTACACTTTATTCAGCATCTGTCTCCAATGTTACAGGACAGCAGCAAATTATAATATTATTATTATTAAATTTTAATAATCATTTCGCATTAGTTCTCAAGAACAATAGAATGTAAATTGTACAAAAGGCTAATACCAGAGACCTAGCAATTTAACGTCTCCGCTAATACATTATTTTTTAGGGTCTTACCAGGTGATCGTTTGAAGCCAGTTTATTTGGATACTTTAAATCTACGGGTCTGCTTAACAGCGCATGATGTCCTTAATTGGTAGTGATAGGAAAAAAAAAAAATCATTTTTGGGGTAGGGGTGGGGGTCTTTAGAAGTGTTATCCCTTTATAGTGCTTTAACTTGAAACTTTGACATAAAATTCTCTCACAATTAGTAAACTGAACAGACTTATTGTTAGCGTAGAATTTTAGCTAAAACGCACCTGAAGGTCCAAATCAGAGTGACGTTTTGCCACATATAAAAGTCACACACAGGTATATAGGTCTACTAAAAGTTACAGAATATCAAAATTGAACTAATCCGGTTCAAATTTAAGCACACAAAAAACAATAAAGGAAAGAATCATTAGCAGTGCCACAAATCAAGACGCATCTTTTCTGCACTTTAACTATGATGATGCTATTGAATGAAATGTTTGGGTAACAATGAAAATTATGCCTCATGACCAATAAAGCAAAATTAAGTGGGAAATACATTAGCCTACATGTAGGCCAGTGCATATTAGGATTACTACTTATTTAACGTAATCTCAAATTAAGTTCATCAAATCAAAGCTTGGGAGTCATATAGAACAATATTTTATCTTTGGGTTTTCGGAGGCTCTTAATTAGGTCCTTGGGGTTTTCTTTTCTTCTCTTTTCTTTTTTTTTTTCATTTTTGTCGTTCCACTTTGGTTAGGGGCAGGTAAAATAGTTCCCCTCTCTCTCTCTCTCTCTCTCTCTCTCTCTCTCCCTCTC